AAAAGAGTCACATGCCCTCCCTGATTCAAGAGGAGGGGAAATAGACTTCACCACTTGATGGGGGAGGGGCAGAGTCACATTGTAGAAGAGCATGTGGAATTTTTAAAATACCATCTGTCATAGAGGTTATAATTGTCCTTTGTTCATAGATGAGACATGGAGTCTTGCAGAGAAGCAAGAGTGGCAAAATTAACAAGGGGCATCTTGGGAAACTATTCCTAGGGATATTATTATAAGGAGCTTCTATTTAGTTAGCTTTTAAGACATTTACTCAAGCCTTTAAAAGTCCATGATGTTATGGAATTTGTGCAATTTTTGTGCTATTCACAAATGATTCTGATCCACTCGTTAGGAAATGAAGTCTCTTTAATAATAGTCTCTCCCTGTTAAATATTTAGATCAACTGAAGACTCACTAAGGACTCAGTGTGCATAAAACACTGGAAGAGGCTGTAGGTCAGCTTAGAGTGGTTCCAGCTTCTTTTTAATGCCTCCTTAGTGTCACAGCAGTGCTCACATGGGCCAGAGGTTAGCTGACCTACTCTGAGGAGCAGGTGGAGAGGCCTTCTTTCTATGAGGCTAAGTAGGTGTGGTTGTGGGTCCTTTCACCAAAATTGGTCATCCAGGAAGTTATTACACATTCATTTACATTCAAACATCCAAATTTAAAACTGCACTTACTGCATCACCCTAACAAACTTGCTCATACCTCTAGGCTTGTGTGCTTTTGCTATTTTGTTCAATGATCTGATGACCATTCAGAGAATGCCCCTCTACCTAGTATATAGTGGCCAGCGAAGAAAATCACCAAGGGATGATCCTGGGATTTCCACCAGCTATAGCAATATAATGTGTACTTGAAGATCTTAGAGCTGCATTTTACAAAACCCAAAGTAGTATTTTTTCATTTATTGTCATGGACCTTCCCTCTATCATAAGAATTTCTCCTTGTGGGTATCCTTTGCCATTACTGTTTGAGCCTATATTTTTTTTATTGTCATAGGCTTAGTCCTTAGATTCAGACATATGAAAAGATGAATGAGATAATATCATCATCGTGTTATAAATTTTGCATTGAAATATACACCCAGAAAGATAACCAATGCATAACTGTATAACTCAGTTTTCATGATACCCTTGTTTAACCTCCACCCAGATCAAGAAATAGAGCATTATCAACACCCAAGAAGCCCTCCTTCTCCTCCCCTCTGACTTCATTCACCATAGGTGGCAGTTTTGCCAGTTTTTAACCTTCATACTGAGACTGGATTATTTTGTTCATCATTATGGTTGTGAGATTCATCCATGCTGTTGCATGTAGCATTTCATTAAGTTTCACTTCTGTGTAATATTCCATTGTATGAATATACCACACTTTATTTATGCATTCTACCTTTGATAGATATTTGGTTTGCTCTCAGTTTTCAGCTATTATGAAAAATGCTAATATGGACATTTTTGTTCATCTTTTAGTGTGTGTGTGTATATATATGTATGTGTACTTTTTAAAGTGTATTCATAGGAGTGGGTTTGCTGGGTCATAGAGTATACATATGTTCAGCCATAATATCTGCTGCCAGACAGTTTGCCACAATGATTGTACTAGTTCACATTCCCAGCAGCAGTGGTCTGTTTGCTCCATTTCCTTACAAGCACTTAGTATCTTCAGTTTTTGCTCAATCTTTTCAAGTTTAGCCATTCTGGTAGGTAAATGGTGATTATGATTTCAATCTGCATTTCTGTATTAACTGATGAAGTTGAGAACCTTTTGAGATTTTTGCCATCTGGATAGCCTTATTTGTGAAGTGTCTATTCAAATTTTTTGCCCAGTTTTTAACTGACTTATCTGTCATTTTCTAATTGATTTGTAAAAGTTTATTATACACTGTTGATAAACAGTATTTCCAGTCTCTTCCTTTATGGTTAATGACTTTGTGTCTTACTTAAAATATCTTTGTCTATCCCAAGGTCATAAAGATACTCCTTTTTATTTTCTTCCAGAAGCTTAATAAATATATTAATTTAAATCAAGAACATCTCTAGGTCTACCTTGTTCCACAGCGAATTTGAGGCAATTAAGATGAATAGATAAGCAAAATATTCTTCCTTTTAGAAAAAGATGAATCTTGAAAAAAATAAATATTCTATAATTACCTCATAAAACATGCACCAAACAGCACAGCATATTTAATCTCATAGACTGTGGGGAATTCATACGCATGTCTTGGCCTTTTCAGTTGGGTTCATTTCAGTGGGAAGCAGGCCTCTGATAGCATTTCCCAAATTTTTAGCTTCCATTAATTATTTTGGAGTTCTACTTCTTCCTCAAATATTTTATTGCCTTTGGCTTTAAAAGCTCCGTATGGTTTTTTAAAAATTAAAATATGTGAATGCATGTAGTTATTTTATTCAACATGCGTTATTTGGAATCATAAGTTTCTAGAAGAATGCTTAGGAAATATTCACTCTATATTTACAGAGTGGACTGTACCTCTGTATATTAAGTTGGTACAAAAGTGAATGCATTTTCAGACCATGAATTTTAAATCATTATAACTAGACTCAAACACATCTTTAGTAATCAAAATAGGAACCATTACAATCAACACATTTTTGCGAACGAGAAATAAGTTTGTTTATTCCTATAGTGCAAAACTCCATGCTTCAGGATTCGATGAACTCTTGGAAAGCATTTTCTGCCTTCTGCTGGTTGTGAAAGTGTTTTCCCTGAGAAAAGTTGTCAAGATGCTTGAAGAAGTGGTAGTCGGTTGGCAAGAGGTCAGGAGAATCTGGCAGATGAGGCAAAACTTGATAGCCCAATTTGTTCAACTTTTGAAGCATTGGTGGTGTGATGTGCAGTTGGGTAGGCATTGTCATGGAGAAGAATTGGGCCCTTTCTGTTGATCAATACCAGCTGCAGGTGTTGCAATTTTCGGTGATCTCATCACCTTGCTAAGCATATTTTTCAGATGTAATAGTTTTGCTGGGATTCAGAAAGCTGTAGTCAATCAGACCAGCAGCAGACCACCAAACACTGACCGTGATCTTTTTTTGGTGCAAGTTTGGCTTTGGGAAGTGCTTTGGCACTTCTCAGTCCAGCCACTGATCTGGTCATTGCTGGCTATCATATAAAATCCACTTTTCATCACACATCACAATCTGATCAAGAAATGGTTTGTTGTTGTGTAGAATAAAAGAAGAAAACACCTCAAAAAGATGATTTTTTTTTCACTCAGCTCATGAGGCACACACTTAATGAGTTATTTAACCTTTCCAATTTGCTTCAAATGTTGAACAACCGTAGAATGGTCGATACTGAGTTCTTCAGCAACTTCTCATATAGTTGTAAGAGGACCAGTTTCAATGATGCTCTCAATTGGTTGTTACTTCCGATGGCCAGCCACTACACTCCTCATCTTCAATGGTCTTGTCTCCTTTGCAAAACTTCTTGAACCACCACTGCACTGTATGTTCGTTAGCAGTTCCTGAGCCAAATGCATTGTTGATGTTGTGAGTTGTCTCCCCTGCTTTACAACTCATTTTGAACTTGAATAAAAAAATTGTTCGAATTTACTATTTGCCTAACATCATTTCTGTAGTTTAAAATAAATATAAAGTAAACAGCAAGTAATAAGTCATTAGCAAAAAACATAAAGCAAGAAATGTGCATTAAAATGATGTCTAACATAGCCATGTTTATTTAAGGATGTATTCTAATATCAAACAGCAAAATTCAACAATGCAAAAGCACAGTCACCTTTGCACCAACCTAATATAGTTATGTGTATTCATATGAATACACTTATGTTTATGAATCATTCTACATACATAGCAACTCTAAAGTAGGGAAACTGGCTCCAGAAGCCTTCCAGAGAAACAGTTTTCACTATTTTATATATGTATATATATTTCTTTCTCTCTTTTTTAGATGGCTTACCCTGTTCTTTAAAATTTCCAGGGAATAATTATTCAGATTCCCTCTTGGTTATGTGTTCTGATACTTCATGTAGCATCTAAAACATTGATTATGGAGTCAGTCATTGGTGTGAGAATTTCTGTTTCTTTCCTTATTTGGTTTCCTTGCCTTAGGATCTTAAGTGTCAGGAGAGGTTAGGGGAAATATGGGTTGACTTAGGCCTGCTAGATAATTTGATGGAAGAATGGGAATCTTTCATCCCATTGTCTTATCCTGGCCCAGACTTACAGTCACTATCATTTATGGTTGAGAAATGCCTTAAGTTTGTATAAATCTATAGCTTCTTGGCTTTAACTCATCTGTATAAATAGTGAAAATAGGAGATATAAAAGTAACAATGGCATTATTAATCATCCAGTTTTTACTGTACACTGTGCTAAGCACTTGATTATTTTATTTCATATAATCATAATAACTGTATAAGTTTGATACTATTATAATTTATGATTATCATCCTTATATTTTAACTAAGAAAACTGGACTTTATAGAAATTAAGTAATTGCCCAAGACCACCATGCAAATGAGTGGAAGTAAAAAACAGATTGTGTGAGTCTATAGCCTATACTCTTTACTACCATCCAGTATGGCCTCTATGATAGAAAATCATGAGTTTAGCTAAAACTTACCTTTGGTGTGGAATCTGGCTGTGCCTTTGTACAGGTATCACTCCTTCTGCTATTTCCCCTTCTAAATAAATGTGGTGGCCATTGCACCAAGAACTCACAATGCAACAACATTTTATTAGAATGAGTGGTAGTAGGGACTTAGGAGCCACAGGGTAAATGAAGCATTTCATTAAAAGTCAGAGTATTCACAGCAAATGTCAAAACTGGATTTGTAGAACCATTTGCCTTCTAGAAAGGGGTCTTATCATGCCTTTCAGTTGGCAGAGCAGGGGATTTCCCCAGGGTGGGGAGGGAGAACATTTAGCTCCACTGTATGGCCTGAGTGCTATTGAGCCATCCAGTCAGTGCATGGAATATGTCATTTGTTGATTGTTATCAGTGTCTTTTTGCTTTGCTAGGGTTATGGCCGACAAGAAAAAGGAGGTCCTATTTGTCCGGCCCCGAAAATATATCCAGTGCTCCAACCCAGAGACCTCAGAGCCTGGCTACATCAACATCATGGAGCTGGCGGCATCTGTGTGCCGCTATGACCTAGACGACATGGACATCTTCTGGCTCCAGGAACTCAATGAAGACCTCACTGCAATGGGTAAGTTGTTTTCTCACATGTAACTTGTTCCTTGACTGGATTTGTTATTTTTTTTAAGTTTTCAAAACCATTTAACTTGCTTTCATTCTGTGGCTTCCTTTCTTTTCTGGGCTCTTCATTTATTTTCCTCTTGAATCTTAATGAGGCATTTCCTGAAATGCATAAATATATTGAAGTAGAGCAGTGGTATTTAAATCTGACCTTTTCTTTCCTTGTTTATGGTAAATATCACGGATCAGGGATAGCATGTAGGTTTCATGAGGCTGTTTCCCAGTTCTGAGTATGAGAATGGTCCTGGCTGATTGGACTTCTGGTTGAGAAGGATTCTGAGACTGGTTCTTCACTCAGCCCTGGAAAGTACTGTGATCAGTGAGCAGGGCCAAGGGTAGTGGCACCTCTAACATTGCCACCTAATGGCAAGAAGCTCCAACTTTAGCATTGGACAGCACCACTGCAACTGACAGGTTGATATGACCAAGGATGCCTTAATGAAGGACTTAGAATTTTGCTGCCTGGAAGAAGAATGGCAGGCCTAAGGCAAAACATCCCCAAAGCAGTTCTTAGCTACCTCCAGTGAGTTCTAAAGTTGTCATGCAGCTCTCAAAAAACAGAATAAAATGAAGCAAAAACAAGCAAACAAAAAACTTGGAAGTAAACATAGTAGTAATTTTAAAGTAAACGTATGCCATACAGTACCATACCAGCAATGTTTGGAAATTCTGGGCTGAAAGGAAGCTCACCTTATACTTACACACAGTTCTTTTTGACCTGTCTTCCATCCAAACAGTGTTTAGGTCCAAGCGGTCCTGTGAAACTGGGTGGTTCTTAACTCTCTGTATGAGATACAGTGAAGGATACATTTGATTTTGTTTGAATCACATTTGTTCATTGTTAGTACAAGGATCAGTGGTTTTCCTTTTCTTCCCTCTTTTTTCTTTCTTTTGAGGTTGGTATCTGAATGCATGTGAATGAAAAATTAAAATTATATTAAATTCAGTTTGGCATGATAGTTATTCTGCCAGTAACCAATACTTACTTCTTGCTTTTTAAAACTTTTTGTTTAGTGTCTTCTCTTGTTTTCTACCTTCTAAGAGGAAAGAGGGGTGTCAAAAAAATTTAGGGTGAGAACCCCAAAGAGGAAATAAAAAACTGACAGGGAAAATGAGGGTATGAGGGTATAATCAAATGGATCGATGGCTCAATGTGCAATTGTATTTATGAACCATATAGCATTCATATACACTGAAGACATTACAGTGCTGCCTTCAACATGACACTGCCTTATAACAAAGTCCCTTTGGTATCTCACATTAATTCTCTTTGGATGAGTTTTCTTAAAAAGATTTTTGAAACAGTTTTAAGTCTGAAGAAAAGCTGCAGATTTAATACAGTATAATACCCCTCATGCAGTTTGTTTCCCTTCATGTTAGCATCTCACTTTACTATGGTACATTTGTCAGAGCTAAGAAACCAGCGCAGGTACAGCACTATTACCTAAATTCTAGATTTCACTGGATTTTCACCAGTTTTTCCACTAATGACCTTTTTCTGTTGGAGGATCCCATCCATGATATCACATTGCATTTAGGCTTGGATGAGTTTTTAAAAGAGGATAACTTTATCTCAAGCCTTCCTTTAGAGTGATATTGTAGTAAGGTTTTAAGAACTTAAAGTTTTAAAAATAATATTAACTTCAGCATGTTTTTTATTCAGATTAAGGAATTCTAAACATTGAGAGCTTACTGCATACTATACTATACTTTGCACTGTACTAAGCAATGTACGAACATGATCTCATCTCTGCCTCATAAGAGATCAAGAGTTTGGTATTATTATCCTTATTTTTATAGATAAGGAAGCTAAGTCCTAAAGAGGGCAAATAACTTGTCAAAGCTTCAGTTCAGTTCAGTCACTCAGTCGTGTCCGACTCTTTGTGACCCCATGGACTGCAAAGCTTATGTAACCAATATGAGGTCAAGTGGGAATTTGAATCCAAGTGTTTTTTTAACCAGACACTATAGTCCTTCACTTCATGGGAAAAAATGTGCAATTTTTCTTGGCTGGAAAAATTAAACATACTACCTGAGTAGTTTTTGGTTTCATAAGTAGCTACAGCATTGAAAAGGTAGTTTATGTGAAATTCTAAAGTTCCGTAGGGTCTTATATTACAAATTAAGTGAAATATTTGGGTAAATTTGTTTTGGATCATTTTGAGAATTATTCCTGAGTTTATAGGCTGTTAGGGTAAATACATGTGTGCTCTCACAAAATCATCAGTCCCCCTAAAATGAAAAATGTTCGTTGTTACCAATAGCCATCTTATGAATCTTTTAGTTGGGTTAATATGTATAGAAGACTGAGAAAAATTAAAAGTATAGAAGGAAAAAGAATCAAGAGGCAAAAAAAGGTATTTCAGAATTTCCAATTAGATTTGTGAATGCTAATAAGTTTATATTATAGTTTGTCATTAGAAAATATTATTGGATTTTCTAAAAATCAGATTTGAAAAACAAGTATTTCATATGTATAGTCACATATACAGTACCTAGAATTTTGTTTTATGACTTGGTACCTTTTTGTATGAAAATTTCCATTAAATGTGCTCATTGGAACTAGTTTGCTGAGAATGCAATTCATTGCATTGTATTGCATGTTGTTTATATCCAAATAGTTATATGATTCTAATTATTATACTATAAACTAAAGTGTTCAAAATTACAAAGTTCAGTGAAAGTCCTCCCTCAGTGGGATTAAGAGAAAACAAATTCAGGGGAGTTCCCTGGTGGTCTAGTGGTTAGGATTCCAGGCTTTTACTGACATTGCCCAAGTTCAGTCCCTGGTTGGGGAACTGAGATCCTGCAAGTCGCGTGGTGCAGCCAAAAAAAAAAAAGAGAGAGAGAGAGAAAAAACAAATTTTAGGAGGAGACTAGCTAGGATTTGGACAGAAAATTGAAAGGGTCAGTGTATATAGCTTACAAGGAATATGGTGAAATGTATTTCTCCTTTCATGTGTCAAACACTAATTTTAGAACAGCTCTAGTAAAAGATTCTTTAAAATCTGGTTTTAAAATCAGGGAAGAGATGATTTTATCCTTTAGAATCCCCACACCCTTGCACCGGGCTCACAGTAGGTGATTTGGGAATGACAGCTGACTGATGGGTTGATTGATTGTTTGTATTTCTGTGCAGGTTATGGGCCAGTTGATGAGAATCTTATGGAAAAGACAGTAGAAGTCCTGGAACGCCATTGCCATGAAAATATGAACCATGCTATTGAGACAGAGGAAGGGCTAGGCATAGAGTATGATGAAGATGTGATCTGTGATGTGTGCCGGTCTCCAGACAGTGAAGAAGGGAATGATATGGTGTTCTGTGATAAGTGTAACATCTGTGTGCATCAGGTTAGTGAGAGTGGAGACCGCCACCTACCCACGGTCAGCCTTTCTGAAGCTCAGTAATGATCTCCAGCACCCATATCTGGGTTGCAACTTGCATTTAAGGGTGAAAATAACAACTTGGCCTGGCTGTTCTCCAGTAATTCCTTTAGAAATAATACTTCTTATGATCCCCAAGTTGACTTATTAACTTTAATCCAGGGGGCTAAACCCAGGTCTTTATTGTGTATCATCATGCCCAAGCCATTGAGATCGCCTTGTTCAATACTTTTTACAGTCCCCTGGGGAGTCTCCTTGCTACCTGCCTGGGAGTCTCTCCTCTGCCTTGGAGTCCCTTTTATATCATCAGGTTACACCCATGGTCAGTAACCTTGGTGAGTTTACACTTCCTGTATCTGGAAGTGCGGACTTCTCCTCCTAGCACCCAAACCTCTCCTCCATCTCCCAAATATACCACTCCCAGGAAACTTGGTCCACTCTACTTTTAAACAGTAGAATTTTAGGATTGTAAAAAACTGACCCACTCCTTAATTTTACAAATAGCACCAAGAGACATGAAGTGACTTTACCCAACCTCTTACAGCCTTCTCCCACTTCTGGCTAACAAAACTTTACGTATCTTTCAAGATCTAGTTCAAGTCCTTTCTTGAAGTCCCTTACCCTAAGTAATTGTTCACCCTTTTGAACATGTGTGTTTCATTCATTTCGTTAATTTATCTAGCAAATAGGTATGCAACACCATCCACGTACCAGGACTCTGCTGCATGCTGAAGACACAGTGATGAAGAGGCAGACATGGTCTTTGCCCCCAGGGAATTCAGAGTCTGGTGTAGGCTCTATGAGGAAACTGCCCATTGAGCATAGTATGCCAAGTGTTTTTGTAGATAGAAGTCCATGCTGCTGTAGAAGTGCATGGGACGGATAGAGGTTGGGGATAACTTCCAGGAGGTGGAACCCAAGCTGAATCTTAACAGCTAAAGGGAAATGCCAGAAAAAAACCAGCAGCATGTGTTCAGGCAGAGAGGAGGACATGTTCAGGTGGGGTAGTAAGAGTAGGCAAAGTATGTCAGAGGCAAGTCTGAGCAGTTCAGAACTGTGGAGAGTGATGGGGTCAAGTAGGGAAGGCATGGACAGTGAGACTAGAGAGGGATACATGGAACATGTGAAAGGCCTTCCCTGATAAACTAAGAAGCTTCAGTTTTGTCCTGTCAACCCTGAAGGATATGATTTGTAATTCAGAAATGTCATTCTGGCTACAAAATTACTAAAATGACTAAATAATACAGGAGAGAGAAACCAGGATTTAAGACTTTAATTCTCTGGGCCACCTAACCTAACCCTTTGTATTAAAAGGTATTCAGAATTATTCTGTAATCAGCTGGGTCTCTTTCTTCCTTTTACTTGCATCCTTTTGGAGTGAATTTTGAAAATTTATCTTCACTCTACCAGTTATTAGCATTTATGTCCCACCTTTAATGACAGAGAAAATCTTTATCAATTAAGTATGAACTTAAATATATAAATATCTGACAGCACAGGTCCACAGCCCCTTCTCTGCATTTCCAGAATTTTAAAGCTGTGAAAATTATAAGATTTTATATAAGTTTGGCACCAAATGATTTGAAGGAAGATGCAGGACTTACCCAGTGTGAGGCTTTTTGTAGTCTTTAGTCCAGTTTGTGAAAATACTCATATTTTGTTAGAGAACTATTAATGTATTGTATTTGATTATATAGTACTGCCCTGGTCGCATTAGGGGGTTATATAATATGCCATGTATATACTATATTACTTTCCTGAGATATGCACAGTTCTAAATTTCCTGATGTTTCTTACCCTAGAGTTTTCAGATAAATGATTGTGGATCTTTAGTAGATTTGAAGGTAATAGTACCAAGATCATCTGTATACATTTTCTGTATTTTTCCTTCACAGTTAGGACAAAATATTAATAAATTATTTCCAGGTTCTTTGGCTAACAAAATGCAGCATAATAATTCTCCTTAAAGGTATTTTGCTTTGAAAACATACCCAGTAATGACTATAAATGGTCCCTTTCCTCACGTAGAAAGAAATGACAATAACACGTGACCAGGCCTTGCAGAATATAAGCTGGTATGTATTAAAGCTGAATGTTGGTGCCACAGAAAGTTTCGTATAAGAGAATTCTTCTGAAGTGAGTATGTTCACTTGAATTCTAAAGAGATGCTTAGGTTAGAGCTCCCTCTGTTGACTGAAAAGTGACTTTAAATGATTTGGAAGATTTGGTTTATTTAATAGAATTGGGGACATGTTGACAATTGTTTTTATTAAACATAATTTTTCTTCTTTACTGCCACCGTATTATATCAATATTTGTTTCTTTGTGACTACAATACACTTATGGTCAGTGCTTTAGAAGAGTTTTATTTTACATCAGTAAATTTTGGATTTTAAAAAGAACTTACATTTTTTTCATTAAAAAGTGTGAAAATTGGGACCATTCCAAGTCCCTTAATGTGTTCCATTTTCTACTTCTTAGCCCAAATATTGAACACTCAAACTGAGGCCTAAATTAATTTACCTGAAGGTACATGCTCGTAGTTTTTATACCTGTCATATATATAATGTTTGGCACTAAATTTATTAACCTCCTGAAGTTATATGTGAAACATATGTTCGTGCATGTGGGCAGTTTTAAGAGTCCAGCCTTCATCATTTTGTGGTCTAGGAAAAGTTGAGAGCCACTACAGTGAATTGCAAGCTTCTGTGATCTTATGACTAGGAATAAATCTACATAAGAGCTCAGTAAATGATTTTCTACCCAATAAAATGGCCATGTAATAAAGGGTATTCCTAGAACCAGCTACTGGTTTTTCTTTTGCTGGTTTGAAAAAGGCTCTATTTTAGGGAGGAAGCTTGCATTCATTTCTTTGCAGACTCTGAATTTCAGAAAAGGAAAAAGCTTTGAAGGTTAGGGACCTTATAAAATGATGTCCTGCTTTTGTGAGAGCAGCATAGTTAGAATCCAGCTTCAGTTCTTGAGTGAAATGTATTTTTTGTACCAAACCACCTACTCAAGCTCACCATAGCGAGCCATCCAGATAAATTGATGATAAAGAACCTACCCCAGTGACCTTACAGTATCACTGAGGAGATGAAACATAACAGTTAAAGTAGAGAAGAATACATGATATTGACCAAGTACCTGATGAGGGAAAACATGTTGAGTGGGGGTTGGGAGTCAGGAAGTGGAACAGACACAGGGGTTATAGTGATCTGAGAATTGAGGTGAAGAACAGTGGGCTTTTTCATTGAAGGGCCAGATAATAAATACTTTAAAGACCACATACAGTCCCTGTTACATATTATTATTTTTTTAACATTCCTTTAAGAATATGGAAACCATTCTTACTTAGCTTGTTGGCCTTATGAAATGGGCCTTAAGTAGTTTGCCAACCCCCTGGTTTTAGATGGAGTTGGGGGTGGGAGCAGAAGGAGATTTTAGAGGCTTTATTGCTGTGCATTGGTATGAAGACCATAGCAGCCAAACAGAAGAAGGATTGAAAGTATGAAGGAAAAAGAAGAGAATTTAGAAATAAATCAGCCCAGGCATGATATGAATAAGGACTTGGATTTAGTAGCTGTGGTGGAGATGGAGAAGGTCAGAGTCTAGTGACCACTCTGAAGGGAGTATTAGCAAGCCCAGGGGACAATAGATGAAGGAAAGTGGATAATAGAGATCAAGGAATTTGGATCTGGAAGCTGCAAAGTATGGTGGTGATAATGGATGGAGAGAGTTTAGAAAGGGGGCTAGGCTAGTTGGGGGCTAACATGATAGTGACTGTTGGAACTTGAATCTGAGCTGTGGGTGAACTCTCTGGGGCAGGCACAGACTTTGAATCTGCAATGGTGAATCAGTCATTGGTAAAGGTATGCTAGGCCACCGGGAGTTAAGTGGCCCTCAGCTATAGTCTCTAATGATGAGGATTGAGCAGTAAGGGGGAAGGATGGGTGAGATTAGAGGTAGTGAAAAGGAAATCTAAAATATTACCCAGTCTAATCTCCCTCCCCCATAGTAGTTTATTTATTTATTTATCCATCTTTATTCTGTAAGGAATTTGAAGTGGCTTCAAGAACTCATTATGGAGTATTGTGATTAGTCTAATATTGTGTTCAGTTTAGGATCCATTAAGTCCCTTTTTTTTTCAACCGAAGCAAGTAATTGCTACAATTTGTTGAGAGTGCTTTTTTATGCACCAGGCACTATCAGGCTCTTTAATATTAGCTCATTTGCTCTTCAGAAGTGTCACTCTGCTTATTTCCTAACACTTTTTCCTTGATCACAACAGTGCATGACATACAGACATTGTTCAGTAAGTATATGACTGACTAATTATAATACATAAGCATTGAGAAAGCTTTAAAAAATGGAGGCAAAAAAGAAAAAAATATGCAATCACAAAACTCATAACAGTTGAGCTAACCTTTGCGTGTATATCCTTCTAGTCTTACTCTGTTTGCCCTTAAAGTAAATTCTCAGAGAGAGACATGCTGATCTTAGAACAGATGCTAGAAGTTGCTTTTTTATTTTGAGTGTTTTAAAATTACTAAATCCTGGATATGAGCTTGTTTGACCTTTTCTCCTAAAAGTGGAGGGTACTCTGTGACTGTGTACCAGAGCAGACATTGACCCAGTAAGTAGATGCTAACCATTCCCCGCTCTCCTTCCCATGCCTCCAGGCCTGCTACGGCATCCTCAAGGTCCCAGAAGGCAGCTGGCTGTGTCGCTCCTGTGTCCTGGGCATTCATCCACAATGTCTGTTATGTCCAAAGAAAGGTGGAGCCATGAAGACCACCAAAACAGGGACTAAATGGGCTCATGTCAGCTGTGCCCTATGGATTCCAGAGGTAAGAATTCATCCAGGTCTGTGAGCCATTTGTTCTCCCACAACATTCAAACTGACTGAGGCTTCATAGAGATGCTTCTTGCCTGCCCATGATTCTGAGTTGATAATGGTTCTCCTTGACCTCTGTCACATCCTTCTTGGATGCATGTGAGCCCATGCTAATTAATTTATAGGTGGTACTACCAGTGGTATTGGATAACTTTAGATGAGAGAAGAGGGTATGAGCAGCAGATTTTTTTAAAGGTAAAACCTACCTTAAATACCACCAGGGCCATTCCCTGGTGCCTCAGATGGTAAAGAATATGCCTGCAATGCACAAGACTGGGGTTTGATTCTCTGGGTCAGAAAGATCCCATGGAGAAAGAGAATGGCTACCCACTCCAGTGTTCTTGCTTGGAGAATTTCATGAACATAGGAGCCTGGCAGGCTATAGTCCATGGGGTCACCAAGAGTCAGATACAACTGAGTGACTAACACTTTCACGTTTCGCTTTTGCCAGTGGTATTGGATAAATTTGGATGAGAGAAAAGGGGATAAGTAGCAGATTTTTTTAAGGTAAAACCTACCTTAAAAGTACCATACGTTGGATTTCCCTGGTGATCCAGTGATTAAGAGTCTGCCTGCCTTGGGTTCAGTCAGAGGACATGGGTTCAATCCCTGGTCCAGGAAGATTCCACATGCACGGGCAACTAGGCCCATGCACCACAACTACTGAACCCGCATCCTCTAGAGCCTGCAAGCTGCAACTTCTGAACTGAAAATCCTAGGTACATACTACAGTATTCTTAGGGATATGTGTGCTGAGTCTGACTTTTTTCGACCCCATGGACTGTAGCCCGCCAGGCTCCTCTGTCCATGGGATTTCCCAGGCAAGAATACTGGAGCTGGTTGCCATTTCCTACTCCAGGAAATGGCTACTACTTCCTGACCTAGAGACCGAACCTGCACTGGCAGGCGGATTCTTTACTACTGCGCCACCTGGGAAGCCCTCTTATGGATACAGAAGTCAATATATTTTTTTTTTAATTTGAGTAGTGGTTTTATTTTTCTTACTAAGAACATCCAGCTAATAGACATGTGAAATGAATTCTGAGGTTTCTGGCCAGAGAATCAGTAATTTCCAGTAGCAAATTCCCTAGCTAATAAAGCAGATTCTTTCAAAATATTAAAAGTCTGAAAAAAATGTTAGAAGTCTGGAATATGACTCAGGAAGAGTTTTTATTAGAAGAAGCTTTCTCACCATTGACCTTCTCTTACAGTTTCTAGTACCTGATTTCTAGTATCTTTGGGCCTGTTCAAGATGTCCCTGATCTTTCTACTGTTGCTTTCTTGATGTGGGTGGAACTTGTACTTGTTTAACTGCCCTTGTTCAATGGTCCTTCACTTTTTAAAGTTGTTTCTTAAAAACACATTATATATTTTTAAAGAAAAGAAAAAGAAAACACTTCTTATCAGAAGTTGCTTGACCCCTTATTTTCACACACACACACACAAATTTCCATCTTTTTTAAAAAAGCATTTCTTTCAGCACTCTCTCAAAGACTCGTTTCACTTTAAAGCTACTTTGAGTACATCGTTAGGACTCTGCTTCTACTGCAGGAGGCACGGTTCAATCCCTGATCAGGAAACTAAGATCCTGTACATGTGGCATGGCCCAAAAAAATGAAAAATAAATAAAGCAAGCAAGCTACTTTGGCTGGGGGAATAGACTAAGCTGGTAGTAGTTACATGATTTTAAAGATTGGTTTTAAAATGTTAGCATCCTCATCTTTTCTACTTATGTGCTGCAGATTGCTACTACTTTCCAATAATATTATGTCACTGCCTCTGTTTTTCATCGTTCATTGGTTAAATGAAAAAAACAAGGTGTGTGGCACCATCTCAAACATGTAAGAGGTGCTAGATTTTGTGAATCTTAATTCCTTTCCTCAGTAGCTTTCTTTGGTTCCTAAGTAAAGTGTAGATATCTTTGATTCATTAAGGTAACCATGCTTAGTCTCTACTTCTCCCCTCTCCTCCTATATATGAATTGTTTATATTACTAGAAATGATTGAAGGCCTGAGCAGTGGCTCGAGACAGGTTTCATTTATTCTTAGTTCCATAATAACCTTAAGAGACATGGCTTACCTCATTGTTTTGATGTTCTGAGCTGCGAGTAATACCACTCAGAGTTTGTGAAAGGTACTTCTGGAATGCCTTGGTGCGTTCTGCCTTATGGTGGTGTTTTATTTGTAGGTCAGCATTGCTTGTCCTGAGAGAATGGAACCAATCACAAAGATCTCCCATATTCCGCCCAGTCGGTGGGCCTTAGTCTGCAGCTTGTGCAAGTTGAAGACAGGTGCTTGTATTCAGGTAAGTCCAATGAGAAGTGGTGGAGTGGGTTAACACCAAATTAGCCAAACTCACCCTCCCAGTGACAGCATCCTGCTCACTGAAAGGTACTCAGGAAGCCACCTCCCACTCACTTCTGGAGCTCTGCTACTATGCAGACCATTTCTAGAACTGTTTTTGGATGATGCCTCTGGACCCTTCAGCTTATTCTTCTTAGTAGCCATAGTGGTGGTTAATTCCCATCCTTTGCTGTCAGATCTGATGAATTAGGTAAGTTCTGAAGCTAGATGATCCTGGGTGGAAACAAGCCATAACTTCTAAACAACCAGGCCCATGTTCTTGTGTGGCTCACCCATGGAGGATGGACGACTTGGGTTCCAGGGCAGTTTGACAGATAATTCTGTTGTTGGACTAAGTGCAACTCACTTGATAGGAAAGATGCATCTAAATGGATAAATTCTGGTTTGCTAGACTTGAAAGTCATTCTCAAAGGCACAATTGTTGCATATGATAGTGCAAGTAGAGTTTTCTGAGACATCTGAGGCATAGAAATTTAGCTGCTTGAAGCAGAAGTTGTAGCTGGCGCACCCAAAAGCAGCATTTGGGGGGGAGGTGGAGAATGGACTGGGAGAGGCCAGTTACACCCAGAAAAGGCATAAATATTGATCCCTCATAATCTAGTTTTCCAGAATGTCATCTCACCTTTTATTCCAAATGTAGTAAGGTGGCTTTCCTGGCAAGAAGGGAGTAAGGGCTGACCTTCCACTCCCCAGGCCTCTTGCATCGGTGCTACAGGCTGGTTCCAGTTAGGTTTACATGTTCACCTTCACAGAAAGGGGGCCATATGATGTCATAGCTTAGGGACAGTGTCTCTAGGTGTTTCATGAGGTTTCTTGCTATCTGATTCATCTTGTGGATGTCTTGCTTTAAACCTGGACCCCAAAAGCCCTTTTAGTTTTTAAACTCATTTTTACATTTGACAGGACTGCATACTTTGTCTTGCTTTTTAGAAAAATTTTTTTTCAATGATTTTATTTAACTATAGCACTTTAGCAAGGAGGAAATTGTTTAAGGAAAACTATTCCCATGGGGTCTACTGCATTAACACATTGCCTTTTTAGGCTTTCCTAAGTTCCCTCCTGATTGCTCCCCACATGTGAGCTTCTTGAGGGCCAAGGTCATGCATCATTGTTTCCCTAGCACAAAGGAGAATGCCTGCCCAGTGTCAGCTTATTGAATAACTATAACTGTATTTAATTGTATCATAGATTAAATGTATATGCATTCTCCCCAGTAAAAAAAAAAATTTTCCATGTTTTCATAATTACCATATAGTCACTTTATAATAGCACATTGAATTTACATCCATTAATTTACTTACTGTCCTTATTGTTCTCCCTGCATTTTCCCCCATATTTACTGCTTTAAAGGGTGATTTTTTACAGCAGCTAGTAATTGGCAGCATGACTGTGATGAGAGAAAAAACGCACCATATTACCACATTCTGCCCTCTATTGTAGTTACTTACCTACAAGTCTTAGCTTCCCTAGGAGGCTGCAAGCTCGAACTGTTTCATCCTTAGATCCTCCAAACCCCTGACATGGCAAATTGACAATAAATATTAGATTGATAGGTGGATGATGGATGAATAGATTGATGGAAAAAACATTCTGGAGTGGGTTTTTCACTTGAGTTTAGATTCTGCATTTTGTAAAGGTCTTTCCAAATTAAGACTTAATTTTTTTTTACTGAGTAAATTAGAGATTTAATGAAGTTCCAATGAAGTCTTAGTTTTTCTCAATCTTAACAAATCCAACACCTTTTTATAACAGATAATTTGTAATGCATCTATATACTACCTTTACTTTTGTAATATCTCTGCTTAGTATACTGTGAATTTACTAAATGAAAGTAGTGGCTTAAAATATGGTTGTTAAAATACAGATATATAATAGCTAATTCTCAGCTTTCTTGTTGAGGTAATAAAAGAAAATACATCCATCATTTTACTTGTTTCAACATTCCCCATCCAGTTCCTCTGTTGCATGTAGTTTCATGAACCAGCATTAAGTTCTAAGCAAGGGATAATCTGGCTTCAAAATTCTGACTCGGGTGTTTCCAGAAAGTAGTGTTAAGCAATGGGAAGATTCAATAACACTTTTTTTTCATCACTCCAGTTGCTTTGTTCTGGTGGACTTCTCTGAATGGCCCAAACTAGAAATTTTTTTTTGTGTGTGTGAGACTGTCTCCATTTTCTACATAATGACCCTCCTTGGGAATTCAGCTATAATTATCTTGTCATGCCTTGATCCCAGACTCCACACCCCATGTATTTTTTTCTGTCTAATGTCTTATTTGGACCTTTGGTATACCACCTCAACTGTCTCCCAGATGCTGGTCAGCATCCAAAGCCACTGGAGAAATACCAGCTACATAGGATGCATAGCTCAACTTTTCTTATTCCTTGGTTTAGGATCCACTGAATGTATACTTTCAGTAATGTCCTTTGATTGTTAGGTAACTATTTGCCAGCCTCTCCATTACAGTTATCATACATTCTTAGCTGTGCCAACAATTGGCAGTGGCTTAGGTAAGAGATTTCAGCAACTCTTTGGTATAAACAGTGTTGACTTTCTTGTTACCTCGCTGTGGTCAGTATCAGGTGGAGAATTTCTTCTGTGAGGTACCTGCCATGCTTCAATTATCATTGTGTTGATACATGGATCAGTGAAGTAGAGATGTATGTTGCTGTGGTAGTCACAAAAGTCTCTTAAAATTTTGATTATTAGGAATTTCACATATTCAACAAATATTTGAATGCCTAATTGTGTGCCAGGCATTGTTCTAGGCACTTTGGATTTATCAATGGACCAAAAAAGAACTTTGCACCAGGGTACTTACATTTTGATTTGAGAAAAATCAGTGATAAGCAATACATATTAAATAGCACATTATAAGACAGTATGTGCTATGGAAAGGAAAAATATGCCAAAATATGAAGTATAGAAAGAAGATGGGGATTGTCGGGCAGGGAGCATACACTGCAAGTTTAAATAAAATGGTCAGAGTAAGACTCACCATAGTTGTGACATTTGAGCAAAGACTCGACGGTGAGAGAAGACACTGCATATATTTGGGGTAAAAATGTTCCCAGCAGAGGGATCAGCCAGTGCAAAGGCCCCAAGACAGGAGTGTGTTTGGCCTGTCTGAGTGATAGAAAAGAGGCCCGTGAGACTGTAATGGAGTGTGTGGGAAGAGAAGATCAGAGAGATTACACAGGGATCTGATTGGTTAGGGCAAGGGTTGGCAACTTTTTTCTGTATAGGGCCAGATAGTAAATATTTAAGCTTTTCAGGCCATATACTCTGTGTCACAATTAGTCATCTCTGTCTTTATAACACAAAGGCAGCCATAGACAGTACTTAAGCAAATGAGGATGGCTGTATACCAATAAAACTTTATTTATGGACTCTAAAATTTGAAAGTCATTTTATGCCATAAAATATTCTTTTTCTTTTGATTTTTTTCCACTATTTAAAAACATAAAAGCCATCTTTAGCTCCTATTCATATTTCTTGGGCCACATTACAACAGGCAGCTGGCTGCATTTAGTCTGTGGGCCATGGTGTGCAAACCCATGGTGAAGGGTTCCCAGGGCCCTTATAAGGTCTTTTATTTGAGGACTTTCCTGGCTGTCCAGTGGTTAAGACTCCAAGCTTCCAAGGCAAAGGGCATGGGTTTGGTCCCTTTTTGAGAGAACTAAGATACCACATGCCACACAGTGCTGCCAAAAGATTAAAAAAAAGAAAAGATCTTTTGTTTTTGCTCAGCATTTAAAGGGGGAGCCTTGGCAGGTTTTGAGCAGATGAGTGACATAATTTGATTTATATTTTTAACAGGTCACTATGGAATGATGTCTAAGATTTGCTTCAAAGCAGTCTGGAGGGCAGGGTACTACAGAGGTTAAAAATGAAACGAGACAGGTTATACATTAATTATCGAAGCTGGATAATGAGTATATAATGAGTGTTCTCTATGCTGTTATGTAGATTTTTCCCTAGTAAAATGTTACAAACAAAAGTAGGCACTCTGGCTGCTTATTTTGAGTAGACTGCGAGGAGGGGAGGTTAGGAACAAGAAAAACAATTCGGAAGCTTTTATAGTAATCCTTGAGAGATGGCTGGGGTGGCTTTGTCTGGAGTGATAGCCCTGTGGAGGTGGTGAAAGGTGATTGGTTCTGGATGAATGTTTAAAATAGAGCCAACAGGATTAGCTATGAATAGGATGCGAGGTGAGCGAGAAAGATAGGAGTTGGGGATGCTTCCAGATTTTGGCCCAAACAGGGAGAAGGGTAAAGTTTCCATAAACTGAATGGAATAATCTCCAGTTAGAAGAGATGTGGAGGGAAAGATCAACATGAGTTCAGTTTTAGATATTTAAGTTTGAGATGTCTATCAGATAGCCTAGTGGAAATATCAAACTGATGGTTGTCTGTGGGAGTTTGTGAGGAAGTTTTGGACTGAAGACATAAATTTGGGAGTCATTGTCGTGTAGATATCTTTAGCGCGAACTGGGTAAGATCACTGAGTGAGTGTGTGTAGATAAAGAGGAGAACAGTACCAAGCACTAGACCTTGAAGCATTCCAGTAGTAGGGGGAATAGGGAGAGAGAGCAGAGGAGACTAAGAAGTCATCAGGGAGACAGGAGGAAACCAAGACAGTGTAGTAGCCTAGAAACCAAGGAAAGAAAGCATTTCCAGGAGAAGGAAATGATCAGTGATGTAAAAATACTGCTGAAGTAAGATGAGGACTACAAATTGATCCCTGAATTTAGCAATGTGATTATTAGTAATCTGGATGAGCAATTTAGGTGGAGTGGTGATGGCAAAAGCTACATTGCCAAAAGCCAGGGCAAAGAAATAGAGTAGGAAGTCTGGAAAAGTGGGGAAAAGAAGTTCACTCTTTAAGATGGAAGAAATAACAAGTATGTGCAGTCAGCTCTCTGTTTCCACAGGTTCCGCA